TGGAAAACACTGTCAGTATAGAAGCAGCTCAAGGAGGATGGCCCTGACTTGGATGACCCTGAAGCCCAAAACATTGAAAGCACATTAAAATTTATTAGCATGAAGCCCAACAATGCAGTGAGAATTTCCACTACAAGCTGGATGACTATTAACTGCAAACAAAGCAAGAGTCCTCCTGTAAACCTTTAGTCCTTGAATAAATGTTGTGTAGACAAAAAAAAAAAAAAAACAAAAAAACCCTGAAATATAACTGCAGCTGAAGCCCTGATACTTCTTCGAACATACTGTTTGCAACATGAATTACTAATGTGAATGACAATTGTTCACATCTTTTGTCTTCATTTTGCTCAAACTCTTCCAACATCTCTTTCTCAGGTCTTCTTTTTTCTGATAGCTTGACAGAATTTCAGTCAATTAGAAGGTCACCAACATCAGGAGTGCCACGAGCAGCACTCTGCATGAGGACTCATGACTAAGTCTGAACCCGTCTTTGTTAATGATAAAGACACAAGAGGCAGGAGACCCTTGGGTATATTCTTCAAATCTACATGCTGACGCAATGTTAGACCCATTCTCCAACAGCTCCACAATTCCCTCCCCAAGAAAAATTTTACAAACCAAGTTTTTTAGAATCCCAGATACCTCCTGAGTTCAGAACAACTGTTTCACTTTAGGAATCCCATACTGTAGGAACCCAAGTGCTACTGGTGAAAGGGGACATGGTGAAATGGGACACCACATCTCCCCAGCTGTATAAAGCTGCACAAAGGCAACGGCATTGCCTTCCACTCTTGTCCAACAAAAGGCTCAAAGTTGTCACAGGGGAGAGCAAGAATGCTCTGCACCCAGATGTGCACAGCTGCTCACACTGGTTTTGACTTTGGACCACTGGAGCAGAGGAACCCCAGTGCCCTGTATCCTCGGAATACAGCAGGAAGGAAAGAAGGAGGTACTAGCAGAAGGGGAAGCACAAACACTGCAGGCATCACTGCCTCCAGCCCACAGTGGATTTTCAGCAAGTGCTCCAAGGCACAGGGACTGATTACTGCCAGCCTTGCCCGAGCCCTCTCCTCCCATGCAAGGCACACAGCTTGTTTCACTCTCCAAAAAAAACACAAGGCGTTTTTTTTTCTTTTTGGGCAACCAACAACAGAGGCCTTTTGGCAACTCTTAGCTGGCAGAATACACACCACACTTCACCCACCGACCCTGTCTGAGGGTGAAACTAAAACAGCTCCACAGGTGTGGGTGTCCCACCCAGGATTTCTACGCTACAAGAGTTTCCTCAGAACCTGAGCCTTCCTGCTCTCCCTCTGCACATCCCACTGGAGATGCCTCCAGCAAAACCTTGATCTCTCCCCTTCCGGGCCACCTTTCCTTTTTAGTGGAAAGGACACTCAGAGGTCACCCTCAGAAGCACAGATATCAGATGGAGTACACAAGCTGCTTCCAACGTCCTCACGCCCAGTCCTCACAGTACTCTCGCAGCCTCTGACCCCCCCCGGCCAGCCCGCTCTCTCCCCGTACCTGTTGCAGCCCAGCGCACGGCTCCAGCCGGGGCTCTCCAGCACTCGCCGCTCTCCGTCTCCAGCTCGCAGGAAGGATGCGGGCAAGGCTCTCGCTGCCGGGGGCGGCACTGCCGCTCCAGAGCTGGGCGAGCCGCCGCCGCTGACCCCGGGCAGGGCGCAGCGCTCCGCTCGGAGCGGCGCTGCCCCGGAGCCGCGCAGCCGCCGGCGGGGCGCGGGGAGCCGGCTGCCCGGCCATGCACGAAGCCCTGCCTCTGCTGGCTCCTCGGGAACGGCCGCTTCCAAACGAACTTATTGGGCTTCCAGATGTACCTGGGGGGCAGATGAGGGGAAATTATGTCGAGTGTGCATTAACTATTCCCTGAGTTAACTGCATTTGACTTGTTTTTCTGTTGGACCAAACTCCCCATCTCCTGCTGGAGTCATTATTCTGTACCTTCTCATCGTTTGCGCAGAAGAGAGTTGGTTTGTTTCTCCCTGTGCACCCCCTTCGCCCCCACACGCCGTCCCTAAAAACCCAACAATTAAAAATGTGGATTCTCCCTTTAATTCCCCTACATTGTGTAATTATATTCACATTAGAAATCAATCAACATTGGTCATTACCATTAGCGATATGCTCATAAAGCAAACACTAGACATGCTAATGAACTGAATGAAACATAATTTCTTGTTGTGTAAACTCATGCTCAAAGCTAATCAGCTATAAATTCAATCAGACATTACATACATCAACTGAAAACGCATTAAAGCAGGGTACAGAGCAGCGGCTGCTCATTTCTGGGGGCAGCGCGGCCCGGAGCAGCCCGGAGCAGCCCAGCAGTCAAACATCCGCGGGGGCCGGGGACGAGGCCGCCGGAGCTCTGAGGGGACACTGCCTCCCTGCCAGGGCCCCCTCGGTGGTGGGGCGTTCGTGACTCCCGCCCGCTGCTTACCGGCCGTGGTCGGGCTGCCGGACAATCCAGGCCCTTTTCTGTCTCTGGCTCTGCGCAGACTGGACACCGGTGGCCGTAGCCAGATCTCCCAGTTTGTCCGGCTCCGCCGCTTAAAATGTCACCTATGTCCAGTTCCTTGGGCTTGGCCACCCCCTCGGAGCCCGTTCTCCTCCCAGGACCGGCTCGCAGGGCCCAGCGTTGCCCAGACAGAAAGGTGGCCTTGCCTCGCCCGCCCAGGTGCGGGCAGCTTTCTGGATGAGAACGAGCTCCGAGCAGGTGCACCCAGGTGCTCATTTAACATTTAACATCCCCGCCATAAACACAGACCCAAAGCACCGGCCACGCGGAGAGACAGCGATGGCTGCAACCGGCTGGCCTGGGGAGCCCAGCGCCGTTTGCCCCGCCGGCCAGCGCCGGCCCCGGAGAGCTCGGCAAGGACGGCTTCCCTCGGCCTCCAGCCTGATCGGGGGCACCTTCACGGCCTTCCTCTCCCTGTCCGCCGGGGGCGCAGGGATGGCAAAAAGGGGCTGTTTTTAAACACAACGTGTCTGCTGAAGTAAATCACCGGGCAGCAGACCGGCCGCCGCTCGGACGCGCTGCCCGCGCTTCCGAACCGCGCGGCCGGGGGAGCTCCGGGCCGATCTGGGGCGGGGAGGCAGCGGGGCCCGCCCGCCCCTCCAGGGAGCCGGGGCGAGGTCCCGGGCCAGGGCCCTCGCCCAGGACAGGGGCAAAGGCTCCCCGGCCCGGCGAGGCGGCCGAGCGCCACGGGGGTTTGGGGGCGGTGGCGGCTTTACCTCCTCAGCCGGGACGCCGTGGCTCCCGCCCCAGCCCGGGGCCTCCGGGCGGCCCGAGGTGCGGGGCTCGCTGAGGGGAGCACCGCCGAGCGGGGCGGGGGGCTCGCTGCGCTGGCGCGGAGCAGACGAGGCTGTTTCCAGCAGCCACGGCGGCGTTTTATAACAGCCGCAGAGCAGCGATTTGCTGCGATCGGAGTAATGTAATATCCAGCTGCACAATATTAATGAGACGCTCAGAACCAGGGGAAAACTTTCAGCGGAAGGTGGCGGGTTTATTTGTTTCGCGTTAAGGGAGAGGAGGGAAAAGGAAAAAACAAAAGACAAGCATCAGCATCATCAGCCCCAGCACCTGCGGCGATCGCTGGGATCCCCCGCGGCGGGCCCAGCCGGGAGCTGCTGCCTGGCTCCGGCGCGATGAGGCGGGGAGGTCACAGGGCCGCCTTCCTTTCTCTTGCAACCTCGTAATTTTTGTTCTTTCCCCCCGCCTTTTTTGTTTTCCCCCACTGCCCAGTCCCCGCGGTCACGGGAGGCAACGGTGGCTTCTCTCGCCCTGGCCGTGCCGCTCTGGAGAGGAGGGCGCGAAGGGGGCACGGGGCTGGTAGCCGGGCGGGAGGGAGGGAGGCGGCGCGGTGTGAGAGGCTTCAGGACAGTAATGAAGAGTCTCGCGTTGAGAGAGGAGCTTGCGGCCGGAGAATGCGACGTGTTGGTTGTCTTGAGCAGTTTGTAACTCCAGGTGAAAGCAGCCCGGGTGTCTTCCGTCATTATTCCTTCTCCACAGGTCTCAGTTGTCCCCTCGCACGGCTCCTGGCCAGCTCGGCAGGTGCCGAGGCTCCCGGCGAGCTGCTGGCAGGGGATGAGCAGGGCCGGCCCTCGCCTCCCCTGCTCCTGCGGGGCGCGAAGCACGACCTGGGCCGGGCGGCAACCGCGGGCCCAGAAGGCGTTTTGGCCCCTGCGCCGCGGGGTGACAGAGGAGTAGGAGCTGGCAGCAGGCTGCTGTATTCCACTTGAGAGTCCAAGGGCCGCGGCCATTCCCGGCGCCGGCCGACCCCGCTCCCCACCGCCGCCCCTCGCGGAGCGCGTCCCCGCCCGCCCCGCCGGTCTGTTTCCAGGGCAGAACCTGTGAATAAAGCGAGAAGCGTTGCTTATTGTGCTCGTATTAATCCCCCCCTTCTTGGAGCTAATTAAATTCCTTCCCGGGAGCCGGGGACTCGCGCGGCTCCGCTGGTGCCGCAGCCGGGGCAGCCCCGCGCCAGCCGCGCCACGCACACAGCCCGGGGCTCGTTTCACCGATTTATTTCACATTAAAGTTTAGATACAATCGAAATCTTCGGTACGCACCTTTTAATAAAAGTAGTAATCTCTTTGAGTACTGCAAAATTATAGCATTTATATCTTCAAAAGACGGTAAACAAATAATACCAGCGAATCAATAGTACCAGCCTCGAGTGCACATGGTCAGGTGGTTTTAGGCAGCCGTAGAAAATGCGATCTGGTTTAGAGAATATAATACAGATAAATGCTATAAATAAGTGGATATCAGAGACGGCGTGGAACTTCCTCCTATCGACGACGGGTCCGCTCGGGCTGCCGGCACCGCCCGCAGGGCTTGCGGGACCCGTGCGGGGGAGCTGCGGGGCCAGGGGCCGCACCCCCGAGCCGGTCCCGCTGCAGCAGCCCCGCGACACCGCCGAGCCTCCTTCCCCGGCCTACCTGCATTGAGAAACCTTATTTCCGGTTAAGAAAAATAAAAGTCCCATTTAAACTTTATTGAATTAAAGCAAAAATTAATTTTCAATATTCACACATATATTACAGAGTAATAGTAAAAGTTCAATATACTTCCTGGCGTTTAGTTGGGCCACGTTGTACAAGAGCAAAACAAGCATCAAAACATTTAGCAGCCTTAAATTTCACAATCACTCAGAATTACATAGAAATATTGAAATACTCTAGTCAGCCTTGGCTGTGGATAGTTCTTCATGTAGAAATTTTTCCTTTTGCCAGCCAGTACACAGCAAGAATTGCATTTTCCCTTCCATCATGGCATCCATGTATTCAAAAAATACTTTGCTTTTTTCTTTTTTTAAAAGTTAAACTCAGAGAAAGAGTCAAGATTAACATGTTTTAAAAACAAAACTACAAAATATGCTGTAAAGGACAATGAAAATATCTAAAGTCTACTTGTGTGAGGCAGAAGCCATGGGGGAACAATGGCAGATTACACCAATGACACAGAGATGGGAACTAATTTTGTGGGAGGAGAGAGAAGAATATAAATGGGGGTTTGATCAATTATAGTGTCTCCCGCCTGTTGGCTGCAACACAACGAAAATAAGTAGTAATTCTTCAAAGCAGATGTACACAAACCTAAGCAGGATTAAGCTTCTTTAATATTTGAATGTAAAAAGTCTGCTGTCCATGACTCTTCAAACCCAGCTTTGACTTGGGAACTTGTAAGAGATTTCTCCCTTTTCTTGGATGAGAAGTGATTTAAAGCGGGAACACTAGAAATCCAGAGAATGTTGAATACTTCCAGCCTCCCATCAAGTTTCCTCTCTCCAGTTTTAGATAAGCTCTGTCTCCTTTCTCCATCTGAATCAGTACTCCATTGCTAGCAGCTTCTCGGGTCACATCTTGGTCCCCTGCAAAGGCAGAAATCACTGGCCACCCGTTTAGCATCAAACTCACCTAAAGAGCAAGATAAAACAAAGCCCTCTGTCAATTAAAGTCAGACAATGACACCGCTGGGGCTCGCCTAACAGGCAAAATGCTTAGTTAAGGAAAGGCCTCTTTTGACAGCTGAAACTCCAGCCCCATAAAAGAGAAACACCAGTCTAAGCCCAGCTAAGGTATGTACTCCAAAGAAGTCTTTCACCACTGTTTTAGACCTGACAACCACATCAAAACACCCGGTGCATATAAAGCAGGACATTGATCCTATTTTGGACAATTTCAATAGGCTGCCTGTGTTTTCAGGCTATGAAAAGAGGTCTGCTTGTACTTATTGAAAGATGGCTTTATGCGAAATCTCAGAGACAGCGAGGAGCAGAGCCACAGCCGCCGGAGTCAGGGCCTTTGAAGTGTATTCAAGGGGTAGTTTTCCTTTGTTAGGCAGCAAAGACAATATGCCACAACACAGTCAATAAGGTCTGCTAAGCTCACGTTAATGATCCCGGGACTGCACACCCCACATTAATAATGCACTACCTGCCCAATCTAAAGGTGTTAAGCCACTTGCACCAGAACGGTGCTATATGGCTGCCCATACATCTTTGCAAAGTACATCATTATACAGTCAGATTTCCTGTCTTGATTATACTACCTGGCTTCAGGCTGGTAATTTATTAGCCCTACCTAGAGCAGCATATGCATCAAACCCCATAGAAAAAGCAGGTACATACAGGGTAGCTGCATAGACATGCACAGATTCATTATCGTTTCCATGCCATAGGCACCTCCCTGAACCCCAAATCCCTATGAAACCTTCTGCCACAGGAGAGTGGGTGAGAAGCCTGCCAGGGACGGCTGTTCCTACGGGCACTGTGCAAGGATGCTCCCGCCAGCGCTCCGCGGCACTGGGCAGACCGAGGGCCCGGACAAGCTGGGAGGGGGCCGCAGGCGGCCGACCACCTCCCATCCCGGGACGGCTCATGCGGAGAGGGGCCGAGCGGAGGCCTGGTGGGGCTCCGTGGCCCCTTGGGCACCGTCCCCCCGAGCGGAGAATCGCCGCAGGTCTGCGCTCCGGCGGCGGCTCAGGGGCACGTCCCGCCCCGCCGCCCGCACGGCCCCGTCCCCGCCGGGCCGCCGACCCGTCCACTCCCTCCCGCGGAGCCCGCGGAGCCCGGCGACGGCGCTCGGGGCTGACCTGGATGGTCTGCCTGTTGTACACTTTCACCACGTGAAAATTGAAACTGTAAATCCCTTTCCTGGGCGCGATGAAAGTGCTCCGCTCCGAGTCGAAGTTGCTGCCGATATTCACTAGTACCTGTAAGGGAAGGGCACCGTCAGCACCAACGGGGGGCCGCTGCCGCCCAGCCCCGCTGCCCCCCGGCTCCCAGCGCCCCCCTCCCGCGGGCAGGGCCCCGCGGGGCGGCGCGTCGCCGGCCCGGCCCCGCCACCGGCCCCG